TTTGACTCTTGGGCAAGTCAAACATATCTATCATTCATGCAACAGAATTTGGTATTAAATAACCTACCATAAAACAAAACAAACTCAGTTTTCAATCAGAAAACATTAGTAAAATATGAAATAATGTTTACTCTATGAGCATTTCTTTGGTCAGGAATGCAATTTTTAAATTTCTAAATTATGTTCTCACAAATGCTCTAAAGATATTTTTCAAGAACTAATACTATAGAGGCCAAATATATTTCAATACAAAAAATGACATTAAAGTCTTTCAATAAAATTTATGCTTTTCTTCCACTTAAACAACTGTCATTCAATTTATACTCTTATTAATAAAAGTATTGATTTCTCTCAATTGCAATTTGCATAAGATGTATTGATTTTTCTTTTTTACTTCCATAAAAGAATCACCTGAAGGCAAAAGCCCCAAATCTCATAAATTACTGTTATTTTTCATAAAACTCATTCAAGCAGGCATTTTGTTTTTGTTCAAGAAAATATTTACAAGTAAGTAATCTTAATTTTTGAACCTTCATCATCAAATATCAATTTGCTTATGAAAATTTCTGCTAGAAAATAATATGGATATATGCCAGGCTTTTGCAATAAATTATGATGCATCCAGTGTAATATGCCTGAATGAGTATACATCGTCTGCAATGAGAAGAATAATCCTTCCTAATAAATTCAAGGACCTGCTTTGTGGCTGAGATAGTTGGGTATCTCTCCCTATTACCAGTGATCAGTGCTCAAGCCTAAATTTTAAATGCTGATTTTCTAAGAGAATAGACTCATCTCACTTGAAATATTTGTGCAACACAATCTTCCCTAAAAGAAAACTAAGCTTAGTCAATATTAATAAAAGCAACTGCTCCCAACAATTACATTATTTTCCTGTGGGTTGCCTTCCTCACCCCTTTTGCCCAGGAACAACAAATGGTTAGAGAAATCAGATTCCAATGATGGTGTTCAGTTGCAATTTGTTATGGCAACTGATTTGGAAGATTGCAAAAATGCTTAAAAAGTTCAAATACTTGCAAGAAGAGAGAGGAATATTTTTTTTTTTTTTTACTACTCAGGCTAGAATAAAAATTTCATTAATTTTTTTATATTAAATAGCATAGCTCTTCTGCCAAAAGTGGGGGGGGATCTTTTAAGGATTATCATCATCATTATTATGTCTCCATTCTTTCATGCTGCTTACATCTATAAACAATCATCTAGGCTGAGCAAATCTTTCATACCTCATACACATTGTAGTTTACACATATGAATATTTGACTACCCTTGATACCATGAAGGTATAAATCTATACTAATTTACTGATTTCACCAACATGTGTACAACATGTGTATAAGAACGAGACAATATGAATTCCTTGGAAGGCTGGTATTAGTCATAGCAATATGCAGAGAGAACAAAGTGAAAATTTGAAAAAGGGGACCTTATATAATTAACATAGTTTAGTGTTGAATGTATCACTAATACATTCTGGTTGAAAAAAGGAGCCCAAAGATTTTTGCAGCCTATATATTTGGTGGTTAATATATCTTTAAAAATCAATGGACAAAAACTCTTTATTTAAGAGAAAAAAAATATCTTTTTACATTTAACTAAAAAATTTTGATTCAAGTCAGAACAAGCACATAATATGAAACGCCATACAAGTAACAAAAATATACACACAACTGCTGATTATTTTTTGTCTTCCACAATTTACACACACACCTGCCACTTCTATTTCCATTAAAATTTGATGTTTTTATTTTATCAAAAGGGATATAACAAAAACATCAAATTGTAATTTTTTTTTTTTAGAAAATACTTCTTAGAATGATTATCTCAGATATTTTGAAGTAGATACTAAGTTGAACAAAGACTAGCACAAGGACACTGGTGAAGCTCACAATGTCTTGCAATTATTACTATTATTTTACTGTACGAGTCTTTATATATCTAAAATTATTCCTCCATTTTTTTTCTGTATTTCTTTTATCATTGCAAAAGAAATAAAAGTGAAATGTTTGTTTCTACATTTCTATTCAGTGTGGCAACAGCTAAATGAAAAAAAAAATGATGAGTAATTTAACTGGATGACATTTTTTCTATTTATTTAAAAGTAAAGCATAAGAAAAAACGTTAAATAATTTTTATTTTGAGACAGTGACATGTGAAATGTTTTTATATAATAAAAACTTATTTAGAAAAAGAATTGTTCAGGTTTTTGAATTGGTAGATTTATGAATCTTGAATAAATCAAGCAATAAATCTTTTTTGTATGTAGACCAAACTTTTGGCTTCTAATTAGAATGACATGATGTGATACAACTTGATGGACCAACCAAAATAAAGTGTAAGGATCAGATACTTGAATTATCTCCCCTTGGTTTCTTATTATAGCCACTAGCCATCTATGTTGGTTTAACCATGGAAACCATCATCCTATTTAAATCGGAGCCAACCAAAAATCACCCTAAGCCCGCACCTACCATTTAAGTAAACATATTTTTGGGGAATATCAACATGAAGTATTGCAGCCCACATGTTTTAATGTGTCACTTCTAGAATATCTTTGAAAACAATTGTGTACATACCAAAATTGTGAGTACTCAAATTAAAGCATTTCTTCTTGTCTTTCCTAGATAAACTAATGATCAAGATCTTCATTCAGAGACTTAACCTCTAAATCAGTTTTCCTATTACCAACAACACTGATATTAACTTGCTTTGTATAGGCTTACTTGTGTTCATTAAAATCACTTATGGGATTTGAATTTAAATTAAACTATACTAAAGTTTCTTTCATACTGATTCATTCTGCTTTCATTTTTATGCCGCAATTTGTTTAAAACTATGATTGCATTCCTAAACTTAAATGACTGTGAACATCCACCCACCCAAGATTACAACTTTTACTCTATCATTTAAACACTTCTACTAAAACTCATTAATTAAAAACAGTCTGAAAATTAGCATAATCAAAGAGCTAATTAAGAAAGTGGTTTTATTTATTTATTTGACCATATCACAAGCATTTTGAGATTATTATACAAAGAGGTAGACAGATTGCGAATCACAAAAATAATTTTAAATAAGATCTAAGGATGATATAACAATGCAGAAAGGAATATACAATTAATTTGGGTGTCACTAGTCTGCTTTAGTGTAGGTCATAATGTAGTAAACTGTCACTAATTCACAGAGCTACAAAGCCATTTGTCCACCTTGTTGGCTTATCTCACTTGTTCACTGCCACCAACTTTAATGCATTCAATGTAGCCAGAACATCCAAGTTATTCCAACAACCCTATGAGTAGCACATGCAGACTATTCCATTAACCATTTTCTTTTATAAACGACAGAATGAGTTTGGCAGTTTTTGTTTGTAGCATGGAGCCAAACTGTCTTTTTGAAGGTAAGTGTACTTCTTCTACACACATAAAAATCGTTTTGCTTTCCAAGCAACTAACAACATATTAAGTAATGAGATAAGGTTTTAATGTTAAAGGAATTGCCATATAAGTTTAGACATTGAACTCATAGCCAAAACATCCAACAATTCCAGAGCTAAAATGTTCTAATGTTACTTTATCACAAATACTTATAAGAAAACAAAAATTTATTTAAAATATAGAAAAACTGACTTCTTTCAAGTGGTAAGTTTGGTACTTGCAAAATCCACAATGTCAATGATAAATTTTAGAAATTTCCATTTAAACAGAATTATTCAGAAACAGTAAAATATATTCAAGTTTTATTCTAAAATAAGATGACAACTTTTTATAATGTGAATATAAAGAATAAAACCTACAAAACAAAAAAAAGGAACAAGCAGCAATATTTTTAACAGGCATGTATGTAGATTATATTAAAAGAAACTGCTTAAAGTTACAATTGACAACTTCTGATCCCCCACAACAAAATCAATATAATGAGAGATGGATATGGAGAGAATGAGAGACAGACTCTAAAATAGTTTGTCAAGCTGTTAATATAGTGTTTCTTTTATTACAGCAAAAACAAAAAAAATGGATGTAAATGTTAAGACATCAGAACAAAAAGAAAAGAACTATGTTTAGTTTGGCCCTAAATAAACAATGTATTGCAGCCCAAAGGGGAAAACTCATTCTGGTGTCAATCAAGCACAACTAAAAATCTCCTGCCACAATCCTTGGTGTTGCTACAGCATTCATTCAGTATGTGTCAAATGACACAAGAAATGGAATCTTCTAAGGGTGCTTGACAGCAAAGCTCTTGAGTTTCTTAAAAGGTCAAGAGGAGAACTGCTTTCCAATGTAAACAAATACAAAACTGAATGAGAGATACAAAGATGGAGATAAATTCCATCATTATACAAATCAACAATTCCAACATAATTTACTGCATTTCAAATTCAATACTCAAATCAGTTTATTTCATTCAAATTTAAGACTGACTATCACCAGTTTGGTTTATAAACAGGCAAACCTTACACATAGAGTGTATTATACTTCTGAGAATTGTTGCATTAGTCATCTCTGAACTTGGTAGGAGACAACAGGACTTAAGTTATATCAGTTTACATAAAGGATTACATATTTTACAAGGAATATTTTTCAAATTAGAATACAAACCAGCAAAAAACATGTGGTCAAAAATGAAATAATTTTAAGCAGATGAGCCTTTGTATATAACAGTTCTATGTCAAAAGTCAAACAACCATTTATGCCTTCAAGATTCAAAGGTTTCTTTAACATTACTGTAATCATTAATAGAAATTATGTATTTAAAGAAATCTACAAGTAAAATACGTTAATTGTAGATCAAATTTATTAAAAGAGCCATAATTTTAAAAAGAGAAAGTGCTTTCTTGTGCATTAGTTTTTGACAGTATATAAAATACAAGAACACATTCAAGTACAAACATTTTAAACACATAAATAGATAATTTAATTTCTACAGACTGACGAGAAGATACAGATGATCCAAACTTAACAGAAACGTTTAGAAACTAATCTTACCTGGTGGCCCAGCATACGACCGTGTATGTGGAGTCTCACTGGTTGGAGAGGATTTGAATGTGCTTGGTGGAGTGGCAGCAGCAGTGGCAGCAGCAGCTGCCATTTTGCGTGGACTTCCGCTCTGTACAGTTGAACAGCTGTCATTCAAACTCGGTGCATCTTGCAACATCTCATTCAAATCCTTCTCAAACGTATCCTCATCATTGTCCGATGTGCCATTGCGAACAGCATGCTGTGGGGTTTCAGCTGACATGGCTTCTGGAATAATAAACAAACAAATATTGTATCATTGGAACTTTTGGATGAGGTATTCTTGCTATTCCACAAATTATTTGAAAAAGCATCTTTGTTGTTTCAGTCAGAACATTATGGCCAGACCCTTCTCCAGTCTTCCTTAGTTATACATTGAATCTAGTAACTTATTACATCTTTCTTCATCCAGTCTCCATATATGTCTAGAATAGGCTTAGTGACTTTACCGGTAACCCATGTTAAAATTTGTTTACAATAATCAGAGTATCACCTTCTCCAAACCTGACTACTGCAGATCCAAAAAATATCCAAAAATCAAGGCTATGTCTGAGATTTCAACTCATGCTAGTCATCTTCAGGAGTATGAAAATGTAAAGTGAAGTAAAAGAAAATCAAAAGTGTTTTAAGTTATTCATTTTTTTTAAGTGTCCTTATAGTTTGTTTGAAACTAAATCCAATAAATCAAAATGCAGAAAATTAATAGAATGTCGATCCTTTTTTTATAAAACTTGTTTAGAAGAATGGTTGCTGTCTTAATTATATTAAATAATCAGATGAAACCGTGTACAAAAAATAATCCAAACAACAAATATGAGGATGCTGGTTTAAATAATTCATGATGGCATCAAAATGAATTAAGATGGAGGTGATGAAAACTCATTAAGAAAGTTCAGATATTGTAACAATAATAATTTGAATTGGAAAATGAATTCACTCACACCAGAAATTTCATGATTACATTATTTTATTCAATAAATCATTTTTATTTTTCAAGCAAAGGTTTAATAATGATGTTTCTTTATTCATCAGTAAGACTTGGGACTTATTTTGATGAAATTTCAAATAAAGTTAAGTTTACAAACATGCCTGATATTTTCCCACCCTATAATAAAAATGTTATCAAGAGTTTGTAATTAACTGAATAATGACAACTTGCTTTATTTTATGAAAGGAATTCTGCATAATAAAAGATCCATTATTAATTGGTAACAAGATGCATAAAAAGACAAATCCATGCTAGACAATCTGAAAGTTTCAACCCAATTTAATATACATATAATATTTTATCGAAACTCAATATTTGTTAGAAATGATTTTCTTTTACCGGGTGTTTTTATGGCAATGAAATTAATAAGTAATAAATAAAAATGATGAAAAAAAATTAGTTCAAGCAACTTATCAAATGATAAGTTTTATAGTCAGTACTTTTATGACAATATTGCAAAATTCAAATATAGGCATAATAGGCAAACACTAAGGAAAATTATTTTTTTCTATAGATTTTGAGTTAAAATTTAAAAAACAATTTTAAGACAAAAAATACACAATGAAATTTTAAATCCTGCAAATAAAATCAAATTGCAAAGAGACTAGCCTTTTCAATATGCTTATAACTTACATTCATTAATCCTACAATATATTAAATGAATTAAAAGAAAATATTATTACCGATTTAATAGCCCTATTCTGTCATTAACACTTATATCTTAACTCCTAATGATGTATTCTGCATTGAAAACAAGAAATAGATCAAGTGTGAAATCATAAAATTTGGTGTTTAATCTTTTTCACTTCATATCAGAAATATTTCATTTGTACACAAATAAGAATAGTCAAAACCTTATTGATAAAATTAAGTCAACTACAGTTTACATTTAAATTATATTGTTTGGAAATTTTTTTTTAATTCTATCAAAAGAAATTGCTGTAGATTAAATGAAAGTTTTAATGTATTTATTTAATAACTCCTCAAGATCTAATCAGCCACCTCACCTATCAACATCAACTAAAAAATTGACTACAAAATACAAAGTTCTTCAAATGGAAAATAGGGCAAATCACCGTCCAGTCAGGATCAGATGATTTCAAGGTGCACTTATTTTAGAAGATTTACCTATGCATTTGTGATACAATTTATTTTGGAATGGCTACAAGATGATGATATAGATTTGGAATTGCAATACACAAATCATCAGATATTTTAATACACAATATTATACACCAGTCAAACAAAGTGTTAGTTGCCGATTTTGTTGTTCATGGCTGTAAGAGTCAAGTGATATCAGCTTATGCCCAAATGAAAAATGCACCATCACAGAAAAAGAGAAATTCTACACAAGATTGAGTAAAAATTGTATAATAGAAAAAAAGAACAGAAAATTGTGCATTAATGGTGATTCTACTGCTACGTCAAGTATCTTTAAAAACTACCAATCCTTTGATGTTAAGAAAACATCACCCTTTGAAACGAAAGACTTAAACAGCAATGGAGAACTCTTGCTAAACTCTTGTTACTTAAAAAGACACTTTATAACATTTGGTTTGATCATCCTATAAAACACTGCAACACATGATATAGCCCAGATAATGTAACAGAAAAGATTACTGACTTCAGCATCTTAGACTCTTGGATTAGGCAGTTTGTGATAGATGTTAGAGTATACAAGTCCTGTTTTGAATTAGATCATAGGTTACTTGCAACTAAACTAACAATACTAACCAACAAAAAAGCTCACTTTCAGCCACATTAACCAAGAAAAACACTGAGGTATAACATCCAAGCCCTTAAAATGAAAGGGTAAATTTACAATTCAGTAATAAACTAGAGTCCAAATTGATGTCAATAAATCTTGATCCAAACATAGAGGAATCAAATAATCTATCATATCATGAAGCACATGAGACAATTCCAAGAATCCTTAGAAGGAAAAAGATATACTTGTGGGATGACAATCCTGAGTTGAAAAATAACAAACCTACTGATGAGGAAATTAAGAAAGCTATTAAAAAACTAAAGAATAAAGCATTGCTTAACATTGAGGCTGAACTTTTGAAAATAGTTTACTTTTCCCTGAATTCAATAACAAGTTCAAGATCCTGACATACACACTTGAGTATCTCAGTTGAATCCATTATACTGAAAGTATTAATGAATACTATATTAATTAAGCTCTCACTGCTTTACAAAGGTCAACTCCTCATATACCAGTTTGGTTTTCATTCTGGTAAAGGATGCAATGATGGATTATGTCATCAAAGAACTCCAAGAAATCACTTATCCCTCTAATAGGAAACTGTATACCTGCTTTGTCAACATCACAGCAGCATAGGACATCAATAGAGACTTCCTATTCTCATCCATGAGAAACTGCCTTCCAAGTCACCAAAGATTTTATAAGTTTCAACTGAAAGCAGTACTGGCTGCTTGGTCAATAAATGTTTCCTTGTAGGGAAACAGGGCATATTACTATTACCTATATCATTGGTTACATAAATATCTGAAATATGATATATCAACAATATACACAGCTTTGAAGTTGAATGGAGAAAACTTTAATTAGTCAGGAAATCAAACGACAAATAATTTACATAAAAGACAATAGACTGAAATGTAAAATTGTTAGTGTAGATCCCAAGAGATTTGACCATTACCAATCTGAATAAATAATTGATATTCTATTGACTCCATTCTGACTGCTAATTTGAAATTCCCTTTTATGGATTAATGCCGACAAAAAGATAAGCAAGAACAAAAAAAAAAAAAATTTGAATAATTGCAACTTAGATAGGATTGCTACTCCTATGAGGTTTGGTAGATAACAATTTGAATTGGAATCCAAAATAAGCCAAAATTCATTTGGAAACATAACATAAACGACTTTGAAGGAAAGTTGGCAAAGAAGAAGAAGATATCAAGAGAAGATCAAATGACACAATGAATAAAACACAAAGGCACAAATCAGTGAAATAAATGCATAAGAGTAGAATCAGTATTTTTGGAATTTGTTTTCTTTGATATTCTTAGCTTTTACTCTTTTTATAACCAATCAGGATTCAGTATGTATTCTCTGCCTTTTGGCTGCGATCAGTTGTGTTTTGTTTTCAGGCAAGACAAGGTACAAATGCAACAAGCTTGCTCATGAGATTTCCATTACAGTGTATTACCCTTCCATTGACCTAAAAAGAAGGGTTATGACAATACTTTTGTGGTACTGGTCAATTTTTGTCATTCCCACATGTATTCATATTTGACCCCACACTTGTATTTACTTTTGCAGAAAACAAATAAATACAATCAACATGAAGCATTATCTCAAATTTATTATATGAAATATTGATAATTATTAATTTTTCAACTTGTATTTATTTTAATTTCAGTTTCTTTTTATTGGAATTTCTCAGCCTGTCATTTTACAATTGGCAATAAGTAGAACAGACTGAAAATGAATAATTGCTAACAATGAATTGTTATTATACAACTTCAAGATACTTTTACTGATGATAGTATTTGCATATAGACACATTAAACCTAGCAACAAATCAGGGATTTCTGGAAAATAAAGAATAAAAGCTATATGGTTAAATTTGAAATTCTATAGCCAGCTGCCATCTCAGATGAATCTGTTGGGCTAAAATGAGCTTCCTAAAGGAAAAAAAAACAATAGATTTACATCTCATGAAGGCTTGTTTTTAATTTTCTGATTAATAACATTATTTATAATTCAAAAACTTGGTATAGAACAACAGAAGACATTTTAATAGAACAATAAGTCAGATATCAATTTTTCTGGGGTCTGCAAAAGAAAGAATGGTAAACTGATGAAAACAATAAGAATATTAAAGATAATCAATGGAAATGAACACTGAAGATTAGATTACTAAATGCAGCTGTAAACATTTATTAGAGATGATTGATCATGGATTGCCAAGTTTCTATACTTTTATAATGAAGATGTGACTGCCAAAGAAAAATTGCACTTGCCAATGGTTACAGTATCAAAATATAAACAATAAGGACTATGGTCCAATCTAAAGTATTGAACAGAATTCAATAAAGTGGAAGTAGCTACAAAATTGAAAATTAACTCAGATACTTAAAGACCATTTATATAAAGATATGAGAAGTGTTTGCAGAATCTACATATTTAAAGAATTTTAACTTTCTGCACAAAGTTACAAATGTTAAACTGAAAACTAATTTCTATCTGTAGAAAATAAATA